TGCCTACCCCTGGCTTAAGCTTTCAGATGGTTTATTCTTCATTCTGGCTTCCAGGAGTTACTCAAAATCTGGTGCCTGGATGGCCTTGATGCCTCTTTCTACAAGCATATCTTACTTTACCCTCTATGGGCCTTAGCCTTTTTCTCTTTTAGCTGCCAGACTTATGATGGTTGAGAACTGCATACATTTGTGTAGTTTGGTTAATATCCCTGGCAAGCTTCCTCACAATCCCACAAAGTAACTTGCTCTTCCTTGGCCAATATGGATGCATTAAAAATGCTTCCTATGAAGTCTAGACTTCTGAAACTCTGAATTATGCATTCTTTGCATTTAGGAATATTTTCCTTTTAAAAATGGACTGCTTATTTTTAATTAATTAAAAAGATCTGTAGCCTGCTCTATCCTATCGATTCACTAAATACCACAGAATTACACAAAAGTAAGTGGAGTAAGCTCCTCAGAAGAAAGATACACACTCGAGAGCTTGATGCCTTGTGTTTTGGACCAGAGGCTTGCAGCTGTTTGGTGCCAGTGAAGCTATGGAGGATCAAAACTTAAAAACCATTATGTTTAATCTTTCCTAGATTAGCTAGATTAGCTAGAAAGATCTGATAGAGCAACACAGGTCCTCCTGCTGGGTTATGGAAGCTGTATGTACAAATATACATACAAAAAGGGAGTATGAGAATTCCTACTGCCTGGTGTATGCTCCTGTCTTTTCTTCCTTGGCTGGATGGCAGCATTTTGTAACTTTAATTTCATATAGTGCATTGAGAGAGACTTCTGCATGTATGTAAGACAGAAAGAAGGGTGGATAATCATTCTCTTTCAGGTTGATTTTGTGTCTCTCAGGCTACAGTCCATCCTATGTTCTCTTGTTCATGTTGTTAGCTGCCATGAGTTTACTTTGATTCATGATGGCCCTGTGAAAAAGACATCTCATTGGACGTTATCACACTTGCAGCAAGAGAGCGGCGAGAAAGCTGGTCGGAATCATTTGGGAACCATTTTGGGCTCATTCCGGAATGTGCCCGGCAAGCGGAACACATTACCACACTAGACTGGAATCAGTGAGGAATGTGAGATTCCGGAATGGTTCCGCTCCGGGGGCTCGGATCTCCTGTTCACACACAAGTTGAAAGATCCCTACCGCAATCCCCCAAATTCTGGGCTACAAAGCCATCCCTAATAATGATTTCCCCCCCAACCCCTGAAGAGAGGAACATTGTTTACCCATTCCGTTTGTTGCCCGCTCCAGGAAGTACACTGTCATGAGATGCTTCCTCAAATCCTTGGGGAATACCGCGAGGAACCATGGGCCGTAAAACAAGGCAATGCGGAATAAGGATCGCATGTTCATACCTATGCCGAGATCAGCATCATTCCGGTATAGTGCCGACCGCTCGAGTGTATTCCTTAAAACTCTCGGAAGTCAAAAGGACTGAAACGAGGCTGAAATGACGCCGAAATGAGGTAGGGAAGGGCGGGGTTTGCTGCGACGTCGTGTGAACACACGGAAAAAAAGTCTGAAACGAGGCTGAAACGAGGCTGAAATGACGCTGAAATGACGCTGCTTTAGGGCCAGTGTGATAACGTCCTGTGTTTCCTTATTCTCAACCACTCTTCTTGGATCTGCAGCTTCAGGCCCGTGATCTCCCTGGTTGAATCCATCCATCTGCTGTGTGATCTTCCTCTCTTTCTACTAACCACTACCTTCCCCAGCATCATTGTATTTTCTAATGAGTCATGCCTTCTCATGATGTGGCCGAAGTACAACCACCTCAGTTTTCTCATTTTAACTTCCAAGGAGAGTTCAGGCTTGATCTGTTCTAGGACCTATTCATTTGTCTTTTTGGCTATCCACAGTGTCTTCAGCACTCTTCTCTAGCACCACATACCAAATGAGTTGATTTTCTTCCTATCTGCTTTCTTCATTTTCCAGCTCTCATATCTGTATATGGGGATGTACAGTACAATGACTTGGACAATTCTGACTTTAGTGTTCAGCTGGATATCTTTAAACTTTAGGATTTTGTTTAGTTCTTTCATAGCTGCCCTTCCCATTCCTAATCTTCTTCTGATTTCTTGAATGCAGTCTCCATTCTGATCATTGTTTAACTATTTTGATTTCTTCATTATCTAGGCTTAATTCATATAAATTTTCTATAGTCACCATTTTTTTCCCTTTTTTATGTTTAGGAGTAGGCCTGCCTTTGCACTTTTTTCTTTGACTTTCTTTAGTAATTTTTCCAAGTCTATGATACTTTCTGCTAGTATGGTGTCACCTGCATATCTTTAGATTGTCGATATTGCTTCCTCTTATCTTCACTCCTCCTCCTCCTGCTTCCGCCTACTCTTCGTATGATATTTTCTGCATACAAGTTGAACAGATAGGATGATGAAATGCTTGATCCCTTTGTCAATTGGGAATCATTCTGTTTCTCCATACAGCCTCTTGTCCTAAGTACAGATTTGTCATCAGAACTATCAAATGTAGTGGCACTTTCATTTCTCTGAGGACATTCCACAGCTTTTCATGGGTATTTGTGGTAGAAGAAATAATTGTGGTATTAATATTAGTTTTGCTTCAGACTATGAGGCTTTGTAGACCAGCCTAAAGGGCCAGCCTGGGTGTGAAGTTGGGATGCCGCTGCCCCAACTCCACCCTGATGCTGCCCTGACATCCGCACGGCATGTGGCATCAGGATGCTCTCCTGGTGCAGCATGTACACATGCTGCACCAAAAGGGCACGGAAGAGCCATGGCACTGGCTCTTAGG